TCTGTTAGACAGAGAGAGAGAGAGAGAGAGAGAGAGAGAGAGTGTGTGTGTGTGTGTGTGTGTGTGTGAGTCTGATTCTGGAGCTGGAATAACCCAGCCCTGGGAAACCTAGGTCCTGCAGGATAGCTCCATTGGGAGGGACTTGCAGCAGGGAGAAGTAGAGCTCCTTATGAGAACACAAGTGACACAAGCAGTACATTGATAGAAGTACAGAACCCCCTCCCTCCCCCAGAAGAGTAACCCTAATAAATGAGGATACCCCAAGTAATGGGCAAGGCTAGTAACAGCTGCCCCATGCAGGGACCCCAGCCTTCCCTGAGAACATGCTTGGTCTTTCCCATGCTCCTCCCAGAAAAGGACCATTTTCTCCCATCAGGGCCTGTAGAAGGTGACCCGCAGCCCCTGGGCTCTGCTCCAGGGAAGGAGACAGATCCACATTACCAATGTCTGGGCAATTTCTGCCTCAAGGAGCTGAGGTCCATCACACTAATGGGCTGAAGTCTGTGGGGCCTTTGCAGGCCTGGTGCTGAGGGAGCTGCTCTCAGAGAGCCCCTCCAGTGGGCAGTTACGCTGGAGTGGGCAGATCTGTTCCCCGTCTCCAGAACCCAAGTCTAAAGGAAACCTGAGCAATGACTCACAGCATAACACTTTGTCTGCTTGTCCTGCACTGCGCCCACTGTGCTACCTCCACATTGCACTAACTCAGTGGATCTGGGGACTCATGGTACCTAGTCTGCTCAGCAGCACCAAACACTTCCAGGCTTTGGATACGTTGTGCGGGCTTTGATATCTGCCCGAACTTTCTTATCTTCTTGTAGTTTTACACCCCTCAGCCACGACTCCCTGCAGAGTAATTGCTCGGGAAGCCCCAGACAGACTTTGCATACCCTGCACTGGGGATGAGGAAGGAGTGGAGGGGTCCTTACCTGTTGCCCTATGTCCTCCACTCTGGATTCTTTCCTGTTGGCATCCTTGTTTCCTGCCATGGCAGCTCGGGTTCCTTCTTGCACACCTTGGCTCCCTTTAACTTCTGCCGTTTCATTAGCTGCCCCTGGCACAGCCTCCTCCTGCAGGACATTGCGTGGCTCAGCCCATTTCACCTCCTCCTGCAAGTCTGCAGGGACTCCAGGAGCACAGGGTGCTGGGGCCTGAAGCCCCTCCCCCTTGCTTTGGTCACGTCCATTCCCTGGGGCAAGATCTTGGAGGTCAAGGTCCTGCAGCGAGCCTGTCTTACCGTACCTCTTCCCCACTGGCCCATTGGTGGGAGTATTTGCCTTGACTGGTGCATTGGGAGGATCCTCCCCTTGGCCTGCTCCATTTGGACAACCCTCTGTCTGGATGGTTCCGTTTTGCAGACCCTCCTGATGAAGCTGTTCATTGCTGTGGGCTGCCGGGTCTCTGTCACCAGCTTCCTTGCTGCCATCAGGAAGTGACACATCCTGCTGCTCCAGGAAAATGGGCTTCTTCTCAATATGGGTCACATGAAACCTACAAGGGCAAAAGAGTCCAGTCACAAGTGGTGATGGCTCCCTCCTACAATCTCACCCAGCCCTTCGGTGTGCCGGCACTGCCCTCCAGCTTCGGACACCTTGTTTCCGTCCTATCGCCATGCCAATGCCGCCCTCAGGCCTTGGACCCCTCGTTCCCATCCTATCGCCATGCCAGCACCTCCCTCCACCTCAGACCCCTTGTTCCTGTCCTATCGCCATGCTGGCACCGCCCTCCACCTCAGACCCCTCGTTCCCATTCTATCTCAGTGCGTGTGCTGCCCTACATCCTCTGACCCCTTGTTCCCATTTTATCGCCGTGCCAGTGCCGCTCTCCAGCCTCGGACCCGTCATTTCCATCTGTGATGGGGTATGCATACCCCAAACTAGGAAGGAAAGGATTAATCCCACACAATGGGCAGAGGAAGTCCCGCCCCTCAAACCCTGCTGGGCATGTTCCAACTGCTGTGCTAGTATAAAGGAGAGCAGCTCAACTCAGTCTGTGCTGACCACCAAGGAGGAAGGACCCATGGTGGAGGCTCCAGCCCAGAAGCCGTTACAGCCCTTGTCTGCGGGAGCTGGAGATCCCGAGACCCAGACTGGAGACCTGTTGACTACAGCTGACCAGTTGGAGTCAGAGTCCCAGGGAGTTACCTGTGCCAAGGAGCCCAGAGAGCCTGACATCACATAGACTACAGCTTCAGGAAGCCCGGTAGGAAGTGACCCAGGGAGATGGAGTGAGTGGTATCTCCCACCCATGTAAGGTCAGTGTGTTGCGGTTGAATTCCCCACTGACCCAGTGGTGGACTATTCCATCATTGTTATGGCCCTGGGTCGGGACCTGGTGTTGTTGTGTGGGCCTGGCTCCCCAACCCTGGCTACCACACCCTTTGGTGGCAGCCCCCAGATTTGGCCATTAGGCTGTGCATCCCTGCACTCAAGGGCCACTGTACTGACTCTGGACACTAGGCTGCGTTGCTCTGCACTCGAGAGTCGATATATTGACTCCGGCCACTAGGCCACATCGCCCTATGCTCATGGGCCGCCACACTGTCTCAGGCCATTAGGCCATGCTGTAAGGATAAGGCCTTTTCCTGTAGCCCTATTGTAAGGCCAAAAGTCTTTGTCTGCAGCCATATTAGGAGAGCAGTAGCCATTAGCTAAGAAGCAGGAAGGCACATCCTAACATTCCATCTAAATGACATTAAAACAACGTAATATCAGGCTGTTAAGAAGGTGGTCGTGTCCTAATAGCACCCACCATCACCAGATAAAGAAACAGAGCTTAAGATGGTTAAAGAAAACTTGGTTTGATAGCATCCTGTCCGGCAAGAAATCACTTATCAATAGTTGTGGTTGTGAAATCCTCATTTCTTTATTGTTTTTATCTTTATGGTCCCCACTTCTCTATTGTTTGTCTGTATGATCTGTCTGGTTCTTTGATTGTTTCTGTCTGTTACATAATTAATTTTGCTAGGTGTAAATTAATTAAGGTGGTAGGGTATGATTAGGTTAGAGAATTTTGTTACATGTTAGGATTGGATAGTAAAATTTTAGTAAAATGATTTGTTAAGGTATAGCTAAGCAGGACTCAAGTTTCACTATATAAACTGGGGCCAAGAAGGAGACCAGCAGAGAAGGAGCAGAAGAATAATAAGAAGGAAAGACCTGGAAGAAGAAGAAGTCACCTCTAAGGCTACATAAATTAAATTAATGGAGATCTCCTATCTCCTAGAACTGGAAGGGACCTTGAAAGGTCATCAAGTCCAGCCCCCTGCCTTCACTAGCAGGACCAAGTACTAATTTTGCCCCAGATCCCTAAGTGGCCCCCTCAAGGACTGAACTCGCAACCCTGGGTTTAGCAGGCCAATGCTCAAACCACTGAGCTATCCCTACACTTCCGTGGTAGGTCAACCAACGCTACACAACTCCAGCTACGTGAATAACATAGCTGGAGTCTATGTACCTTAGGACGACTTACTGTGGGGTCTACACCACGGGGGGACCGACGGCAGGGCCGGCTCCAGGGTTTTGGCCGCCCCAAGCAGGACAAAAAAAAAAAAAAGACCGTGATCACGATCTGTGGCGGCAATTCGGTGGGAGGTCCTTCGCTCCGAGCCAGAGTGAGGGACCGTCCGCCGAATTGCCGCCGAATAGCTGGATGTGCCGCCCCTCTCCGGAGTGGCCGCCCCAAGCACCTGCTTGACAAGCTGGTGCCTGGAGCCGGCCCTGGTCGATGGGAGAAAATCTCATTGGGGGTAGAGTACATGGGTCGACTGGAGAGTGATCTGCAGTCGATTTGGTGGGTCTTTCCTAGACCCGCTAAATCGACTGCCAGTGGATTGATCTCAGAGCATTGATACCGGCTGTAGTGTAGACTGCCCTAGAATCATAGAATCAT